TAAACCATTCTCAGATCCCCTTGAACACACACAAAAAAAATCATCAAAATCGGTCCAGTCGTTTAAGAGAAGTTCAGTGACATACACACTCACAGAAGAATTATATATATAAAGATAACCCTGATTCGGATAGCGAAGATCCACAGTTAGTTGTTCCTTCGTCTTTACGTACAGAAATAATAAAAGAGTGTCATGATGGTACCACAGCTGGCCACCATGGGGTTGATAGGACTTATAATAAAGTCTCTCATCATTTCTATTTTCCGGGTATGCATAGAGCTATATCTGAGTACGTCAAGACTTGTATTGTATTTCAGCGTTACAAAGCGTCTAATACAAAACCGAAGGGTCTGTTACAAACACCAGTACTTAGCCAAAGAGGTGAAATTTTGGCTATAGATTTGTTTGGTCCACTTCCCATGGGTAAAAATGGGGAACGCTGGGTTTTAATTGTTGAGGACACGGCGACACGCTGGGTTGAGCTTTATCCCCTCCAAGAAGCAACGTCGGAGGTGTGTGCTCGTACACTAGTTGAGGAATATTTTCTTCGTTATGGACTTCCTCGTCGCATTGTTTCGGATAATGGTGTCCAATTTGTTTCTGCTGTTATGCAACAGTGCATGTTTATTCTAGATATTACGCAAGAGTTAATACCACTCTACCACCCTTCAGCAAATCCCGTTGAGCGTAAAAATAGGGATATGAAATTTCAACTGTCTCGCTTGGTAGATACGAATCATTCTTCTTGGCCTCAGCATCTTCCTGTTGTTAGATTTATAATGAATTCTGCAGTGTGTCAAACTACTGGTGTAACTCCGGCGTACATGATGTTCGCCAGGGAGCAGTGTTGCCAACTCGGATTTTGGAAAAGGCGTAGGCCCGATGAGAAAATTACGTAGAATTGGTAAATTTTGCATATGAAAAGTAAGTAGATCTACGTACTTTTTTCTGAGTGAAATGAAGAAGTTATTTGAAACCGAATAAAACGAGTATTTTGTTATACAATTTGTTTAAGAACGGGAGATAGAACGAAGAGTTCTTGGAGAAGTCGCTGCATTGGAAGCATTTACCATGCTGTGGTAAACATTTACCATCAGACACAGACACTAGTGGGTGCCGATTCTGGATGGTTCTCTAAAGGACATTGTTCAGCGTCCATACATAGTTAGCCTAAGAACCAACAATCATGAAATATTATTTTCTAGGTACAAAATCGTAAGTAAATGACTGTAAAAACAAAGATTATTGACGGACACTTTTGAGAACTTAAATTATTAGGAAAACTAATTTTTTTTTTGAGGTTATGTTTAATATTCAATGAAACATAGGTCAACCTATGAACTTAGTATGAACTTAGTATGAAGTGAATTAATATTACAACTAATACATTTTATTCGGTGCGATTTTAAAGAATAACAATTAGGAAAAACTTGGTTAGGTAGGAATCATGAATAAAATAAAAACTGTGGTTTTACTTCTTATTTATTGACTATTATTCACATAATTGTATCATATTGTATATTTTATTTATTTGTATATCACATGTATATTGTGTAAATATGCAGCGTGAATGTGTATCAGGTGTTCTTGAATAATTTGGCAGTATGATCCTCTCAGGATGTTGTGGCACAGGTTCACTAGCACTTGGTAATAAGGGCTCTTCTCTTTGGTAACATCGATGGCATATTAGATAGCCGAAATTGTAAAATTAAAGGAAAAACAATCGAAAATAAACACACACAACAGGTAATCCGAAACGAGAATGCACTTTCCGGTATAATAGACTACTCTTTGGAATGCTACAGATTACCACGAAATCAAACTGCATGCACCACAACCACAGAGTAACGAGTTTTATGCCGGCCCTTCACTTGACAACTGTTTGTCCTTATCATGCTTAATAAGCGATGAAAAGGACAGACTGCTGTCATGTTTTAAAATAGCAAATACGAATAGCCAAGTGAAGTGCCGGCATTAGGAAGAAAGAGTGTTTTGTTTGCATCGCTGCCATAGATTATACACTTAAAATGGTATTTACTGTCTCAGATTATTTTTTAACTTTTTAATTTAGCTTACTTAACTGGAAGTGTCCGTCACAATCTAAATACTGATAATTATCGCAAAAAATATACTAAGAATTATCATAAATGCCAAATTGGTGTTGGTTCTTAGGCCAATTTTAATATTGTCCTTTAAAACTTAATTTAACATCAGTCTCTCCTTTTCATTCTGTATAGAGAATGACAAGGATAAACTGTTGTTAAATGGGCTAGTTGACACTTTTTGGAATTATGTTTTAAATTGTTAATAATTATTCTATCAGAACGAAAAAAAAATTTTTTTTACCTAGAAGACATACAAAAACGCTCTTTAGTCTATAGACTTATCTATGCTATGGCGCCAAAACATTTGTAAACAAACACTCGCAAGCACGTAGGAAATAAACTTTCTAAGTTAATATTATAAAACCATGATTTCTAATAGATCACATGAAAAATATAGTAGTTATCATGATACACTTGGTAAAAAACTCTAGAAAAGTTATGGTTTAAATTGCCAAGAGAAAAAACATACTTACACATGAACATATGCTTAAAACTTGCTAAATGTCTTTTCTTTTTGCAAAGATCAATTCGATGTGAGTAGGTACTCATTGATAATAGTAAAAGTTTAAAAATACAATTTTTAAGGTTATGAATGTACCTATTAAGTCAAAGAGTTTTGTCGTTTCTGCTTTCACAAATCCTGCGTCCAGCATTAATTTAGTCAACAAAACCAATAACGGGAACCTTTTCTACAAGATGCAAGAGTGTTTAGATACATCTTCTTAAATATTCAATATAAAATATTCTTCTTTATTCTAGTGAATTAAGTTATTTTACAAATTTGAAAAAAAATAAGAAAATACGTAGATTCTGGGACTTAAGATAGTAGGTTTCCAGAAAAGGCCTAAAATACGTAGATCTACGTAAAAAGACGTAGAGTTGGCAACACTGCCAGGGAGCTTCGTTCTCCGGTTGAGGTTCGACATGATATTAAAGCAGTTTTGAATAAGGATAATTTTGTACCTCAGATTACTCCGTACTTGAAAAGGTTTGTTGATTCACTCATAGCAGTTAAGGAAAGCGCCGAAGTTCAACAGGACCGTCGCAAAGAGATTGCGGACAAGTCAAGGAGTCCTGCAGAGGCGTTTGATGTAGGCGATCAAGTTCTTTTGAAAACACATGTTTTAAGTAATGCAGCTAAAAAGTTATCTTCTAAGTTTATACCGAAAAGAGATGGGCCTTACATGATAGTTAATAAAGCTAGTCCTACTGCCTATGTTATTGCTAATATAGAAAACCCTAATGAAATTTTAGGTAAGTTTCACATTTCAGAGCTTACCCGTTTTCATAGTTGTGATGATGCGCCTCCTCCTCCCGTTGTACAAAAACGTAATAGAGGTCGTCCTCGTAAGCATGTTTGCCCAGTATGTTCTTTTAATTGTAAATGTTAGTTTTATTATTCTGTATTTAGTTTAAGCATTATTTTTGTATTGTCTTTTGCGAGACCTCGCGCGTTAAGCGCGAGGGCGCTGTCATTAACTCGAGGGGGAGTGTGTGGCGTGTATGTGCCTCGCTCCGGCTCAAAGGGAAGCTATTGACCGTTTTGGGATGCGCGGGGGGACATTTCGGGTAGCGCCACATGCGCCCACGCAGGCGCGATGCGTATCAGTCATTGGCCGGGACTCGTTAACTTAACGTTAAGCCACGTGCGGTGCCTTGTTTTTTTCCCGCGCTCGTGTGTTCCGTTAAGTTTGAATAAAGTGTAATTATATATAAACGCGTATTATGTTTCACTGAACCACACTCCACCCGGATGGTTACAAAATTCAATAAAACTTTATTTTGATATATTGTTACTTCTTGTTAAAGATCATGGAAACCCAATGATAGATACCTAAATCTCGGATCTGCCATGAATTTTCGAATACGACGATTTTAATGAATCCTAAATTCAATGTGGTACTATTGTAAGAGTTCAAAAAATATTTAATCCAATTGCAAAATGTTCTGTAATTGGCTGTAAAACTTAACTGGTTCTCTAATAACACTCGCGCGATTTGACTCAGTCTAGTGAAATATCCTAGCGCAACTAGTTTTGTTGCGTGAGCTGGGCCAACAGCGGGGGAAAATCGGCAAAGAGTAAAGGTGCGAATGCCTGCTCCCCTCCTGGCCGCGTTGCTCTATGATCTGTCAAAATTAATTAAAGTATTTTAAGTTATTAACGAGATTGTTACCATGTACCTTGTTTTTAACGAGTTTCCGATATTTCGGCACTGTTGTAAGCGCCATGATCACGGAGTAACTGAAGTAATTGCGGGTAGGCTGTTATTGGCAGACATATCGGTCTACCCTCCGACGAAATCTTCTATCTATTTGCGTTCGATACCCGTATCACTGTTCATATTCTCCCTATTCACTCGAAACTGTTCCCGGCACACACATGGTAACAATAATAACTTAAAATACTTTAATTTTGACAGATCATAGAGCAGAACATATGTTAGTGACCATGAAAGTTTAAAACAATATAATGGTGTCGATTCTAGCATGATTCTCTAAAGCTAAACTTAAATTTGACAACAGTGCATCCTTGTCATTCTCTATACAGAATGAAAAGATGAGACTGATGTTAAATTTAGTTTTAAGTTTAGAGAATTGTGGCAGAATTAAATCTCACAAGATTATCTAAACCAGAAACTAAATTTAACATCAGTCTCTCCTTTTCATTCTCTATAGAGAGTGACAGGGATACACTGTTGTCAAATTTAAGTTTAGCTTTAGAGAATCATACCAGAATCGACATTACTGTCAAAATTAGTTAGCGAATAGGTGTACTGAACGCAGCCCAGACGAAACTGTATGTCTATGCTAAGTTTCCGTCGTCTATGTTTATTTTTCTGTCTTCTGTGCTGTGCTTCTGTGCACTGTGTAATGTCAAATTGTCAATGTCAAATTGCCGCAACAAAGTAAAGTTACGATTATTTAGCCTAAAATCGTTTACTGTTTTTTGTTAATTCTAATATTGCTGTTATTCTTTTGTTGTAATATCGTTTATGATTTGCAATTATGAATTTGTCAGAAGACAATACTTTTGGTAACGGACTCTTATACGTCGGCTTTAACCAAGATCAAGGTAAACAAATGGTTCCAACGTGAAGGTATTTCAACAACACAGTATTGCATTGAATACATTTACTGTTATTTCACGACTTTTCTTGTTAAATTTTTTCAGGTTGTTTCGCTTGCGGTACTGAAAACGGGTTTCGAGTGTTCAATAGTGATCCGTTGAAAGAAAAAGAAAGACAAAATTTTGCAGAAGGTGGCTTATCTTATGTTGAAATGTTATTTAGATGCAACTATATGGCTCTAGTCGGGGGCGGAAAAACACCCGTTTATCCCCCTAATAGAGTAATTATATGGGATGATTTGAAAAAAGACTCTGCCATATCTCTGGATTTTAATAGCCCTGTGAAAGCTGTAAAACTGAGAAGGGATCGTATTGTAGTTGTTCTGGGTAAATCATATCTCTTTGTTTAATTTTATGGTTCATTTATAAAACAGACATTTATGTAGTTTTTGTTGTTTCAGAAAACTTGATAAAAGTTTATACATTCACTGCTCAGCCTCAGATGTTGCATGTTTTTGAAACTTCACAGAATCCTCGTGGTCTCTGTGTGGTTTGTCCAAACAGTAACAATGCTTTACTAGCATATCCGAGCCGTAAAACTGGACATGTGCAAGTAAGGACTCTGTGGGTGATGTTGTTCTTACTAACTTCTTCTATTTTTTGACAATAACAAGAATATTATTTTTATTTGACTGCACCAGGAGGGTTATAGTTTTTAACTGTTTGTATCTATACTTAGAGACACACCTGTTGGCACACCTAACATATTATGTTTTGTTGGTCCCTAGCTAAAAACGAACATTACATTGAGCAAAAAATTATTACCTATGCTTCATCACTGAAGAAATCGAATCTAATCTATTACCTCAACTTTTTATTTAAAGCTCAACTGTAAATATATATTTTTAATAAAGACTGTTGAAACTTATGATACTAAGTGGGCCGATAGATGTGATTCTTTTGGCATGATATGGAGCCAAAATTTTGAAGATTAAATTTCATTATAAAAAGAGAACTGAAGAAAGGAGCAGTCTTCAAAAAGAAAAAATAATTGAATTTTCTAATGATTACTCCTTTGTCAGCCCATTAGTGTTCCGATTTGCCTATGGATAGAATAGTGAGATTGGGCCATGATTCCATACAGGCCCAGTGCAGATTGAAAGGTGCTAATGACTGCAGATGCATAGGCTTAACATGCATTTGTAAGCTAGAAGGAGCCCAAGATTATACTTTATGTGTCATTCGTCCAAACTTTATTATTTAGTACTATAAGCATGGGGTTCTGCTAAATTAAATAAATTATTTCAATGAACGCTCCTGAGACTATAATGATTTGTTTTATACTTTTTCTTTGTGTGTTTAATATGGCAGATTTTAATCTTTTTTTATTTATTAAATTTTTTAGTTGGTCGAACTGACTAGCCATGCTGGAACTAGTTCTGCTCCAGAAGGACATTTGATAGCAGCTCATGAAGCTCCGCTAGGGTGCCTATCCCTTAATGTTGGAGGCACTCGGCTTGCTACAGCTTCTACTAAAGGCACTCTTATTAGAGTATTTGACACATCAACTGGACAAAAACTAGCAGAACTAAGGAGAGGAGCACATCAGGTATGAAAGTTTCTACTAGTTGCTATCTAGCTATGGATAGTTTACCACTGAAAATTTAATGTGAATGTTATGGTTGGATGGTTAAGTTAGTACTAAAATTTAACCAAGTATGGTATGATATATTAGAAAAAGGATATTAGTAATATTTTTAACAGTTTTTTAAAACCTATTCCATTGACACCCTATGGCATTGAAAACATGAGAAAAAAACACATTCCCACTTTCTGTCTGTCCTTCACCTAACCTAAAAATAAGAACAGCCAGCCTCAACTGTTTCCTTTACAAGTTGTCAAAAGTTTCATAAATAAGTAACACTGTTTTGGTGTGTCTTGTATAAACAAAAAAACTGAGTAAAAAAATATTAATAAGCAAGCTTTAAGCTTACTTAATTATAATAATAATGATTTTACCCCAGCTGATATTAAGTAGTATTAGAGTCCAAATGTGAAGATAGCTGGTGCAGCAGTTTAAATTTCACACCAGCCATCCTCTGGCCTGTCTTCACACATCTTTTGGAGCACCCATGTTGTCGAAGGATTCTCTTTGCGAGTTTGTGGAACATCTATCTTCATGTTAGAATTATAGTCACAGTAAGTAGTTGGCAACGTAAACTCGTGTGTGTGGTTTTAATGTAGAATAGAGAATGTAGGATAAAGGAAAGTATCTCCTCAGATCATTTGCTCTTGCATAGACAACCGAAAACACCAAATGACTTAACATAACAACATAATAGTAGGCTGTGTATATGACTAGCACCTTGTTCATAATGTTTAGGTAAAGGGTGGTTGTGTGGTACAGTGCTGTTGATGCTGCTCTGTTCAGTGAAGCTCAATGACAAGATTTTTCTGTTCCTTGTGAATTATGTTTTTTAATAAAGAAAAAAGTGTTTTCTATTGTTTTTTTTTCAGGCTACAATTTATTGTATTAACTTCAACCATAGCAGCACTAATCTGTGTGTTACTTCTGATCATGGAACAGTGCATGTATTTAGTCTTGAAGATGAGAAACTGAATAAACAATCAAGCTTGGCAACAGTCAACTTTTTACCCAAATATTTTTCAAGCAACTGGAGTTTCTGCAAGTTCACCATTCCAAATGGTCCTCCTTGTATCTGTGCGTTTGGAGTAGATAAAAGCTCCATTATTGGTGGGTTTAATTATTTATTTGTTATATTGGCCTTTCTAATTAGTGCATTATAATTTATCCTCATAAAATTATCTGATGGGACATCCCATTTAGATGATGGATGTATGACATCACACGTTTTTGAGATGCCATTTTGCCTTAAATCTTGTCATATATCCAGTCAGACCCTTACGGCTCCGCGACCGCGGCGCGGCGAACGTATTGCTAGTGTAATAATTTGTCTTCTCTTACCTTGGCAAAATTTAACTGTCACTCCCATCCTGTTAATCAGTTAATACAAACATAGGAATAAAATATACAATTATTATTTAAACGGTATAAATTTATCTTCTATTACCCTGGCAAAATTTACCTGTCACTCTCAACCTGTTATCAGTTAAAACAAACATAAGAATAAAATATACAATTTTCATTTAGACAGTATAAATTTATCTTCTATTACTTTGTCAAAATTTAACTGCTACTCCTATCCTGTTATCAGTTAAAACAATCATAAGAATACAATATAATTTTTCCATTAAAATGGCATGGTTTTATCTTCTATTACTTTGGAAAAATTTAACTGTTACTCACATCCTGTTATCAGTCAAAACCAATGACGTATAATTTAAAGACAGGTTATACGCCAACAATAATGCATTTTAAAATGGCACAAGTAGTCCCCGCCCCAACTTCCCTTGGCAACAGCCGTCAATAGGTGCACTAAAGTATTCTCTTTCACTCTCATTCATAAAGCAGATTACATCTCGCTCTTTAGCCTCTATGTGTCAACGGTGTCAGCAACTGTCAAAATAAGTAATCACTAAATATTTTTACATTACTAACTTTAAAACTGTACGTACGAATGTAATGACTCATTTTTCTTGTCTGTAATAGTTCTCGTGTATTTTGTGTACTATCTAAAATCACACATAGGGTTTTTTGTCTGGAAAACGTAAAATATTTACACGTTGTAGCAAAGTGTAGCCGCGGCGAGAGAGCGTACCGGGCTGAATGCAAGTCGGGCAATTACCTTACCTGACTTTCCTATTGCCAAAATTAGAAGCGTGTATGACTAAGCCCGTCACAGACGTAGCTATAATATATATTAATATATCGAAATATATATTATATTATAGCAAACTACCACAGATGGGAGCTATACTATAATATATATTTTGCCCTCACTCGGTCTGCGGTCGTTTTTGCAAGCGCACGGTTTTAGAGCTTATTTTCTAGCACAGGGTGTTTTAATTTTGAAATAACGTTATAATCAATCTTACCGAAATTAATTCGACAAGAGCACTACTTTTAGATTTAATTGAAAGTTCCTCAGAGGATGATTCCGATGCTGAATTTGATATGCATGTTGCCTTGTCAGGAACGAAAAATAGAACCATCTGGGTAGAGTCGCATATAAAACAAAAGAAAACTTGTGGCGAATTTAATTTGTATCGTGATTTGTCATCCAATAAATTTGCACAGTATTTTAGGAGAGGGAGGGTGGGGGAGAAATGCTCGTGCGCACTTGAGCCGGAGATCGGGCAGGCGTTAAGTGAAAAGTTGAACATTCCGTATTAAAAATATATACTAATATGCTTAAATATATCCCGTCACAGACGTAGCTATAATATATATTAATATATCGAGATAATATATTAAACAAACTACCACATACGGGAGCTGTACTATAATATATATTTTGGCAGTCGTTTGGTGAAAAATGGAACATTCCGTATCATAAAAATATATATTAATATGGCAAAATATACACTAATATGCCAAAATATATCTGTCGACATATTTTGGTGACGTCATAGAAATATATATTATAGCTGCGTGTGCGGTCACTCGAAAATTTATATTGAAAATATGTTGTAATATGTCTTGCTATGATTCATATTAATATTTATTATAGCTACGTCTGTGACGGGTTTTAAACGCGCTACTGACATGCCTGCCGCAGGGACAATCTAGGGTGCACGGCGGTCGGCTCATTATCGGCTTGTCTCTACACTCATGCCTGCTATTCAGTGTTCGGGCGTATGTTGAGCTAAACACACGCGTTGATGATGGTCCCAGTGTTATCAAAAAATATGTTACTGAAAAAAAGGAAATACTGGGTGAAGAATTGGCAACAGAAAGAAATGTATTGTAAATAAGTAATGTTTATGATTAGAAAAAAATCCACGCGGACTTGGCAACAGACGGGATTCGAACCCACACCCTTCGCTATCCGGGCGAATGCACTGATCAATTATGCTACCGCGACCCTGACAGCCATATCGAATTCTTTCTAGCCTTTCTTTAGCTGCAAGGCAGCGCCATCTCTTCGCATTATATGTAATCCATAATGTCAAATGAATAAATACCTTTACAAGTATTAAACATTTAAAAGAAGAAATAGCAATTAGTCATAATTTTAATTTTTTAAGCATGTAACTGCTCAATGTTTGAATCTAAAGAAAATATTACACGAAAAAAATAATAAAAAAACTATTTCTATTTTTCTAGTAATATTTTCTTTAGATTTAAACATCGAGCAGTCACATACTTAAAAAATGAAAATCAATTATAAAAATATATAAATAATGTTTGTTTTTTTTTTATCCCACATGTGGGGCCGGTATTTATATACTTCGATCACTCGTGTCCAAACTTCATGCTCATTATGATCTGCCGCCATTTTGATCGAAATACGTGCGCTGCGTGTGACAGCTACTAACCGACTGATTGAGAAATTGGCCCAATCGCGCTACACACGCGGCAACGTGCAGGGCGGTTGGGACAATCTAGTGAGCAAGGGTGGTCGCGTGCTCCTGCCGCCCTGCCGCAGGCCCGATTTAGAAAATTGTCCCAATTTGCCTACACATATCACAATTCAGGGGCAATTTTGGGTCATCCCCACTCTTACACCCTAGATTGTCCCTGTGGCAGGCAAGTCAGTAGGCGCTTTTATAGATCGCGCCAATCTTCTAGTCCGCTCTGAACACTGCACAATTCGCGTCGTAGTAACAAAAGACAGATATTTGAAGGGACGAATTTTGTGTTTAGGGCTGTACACCTGTGCGAAGCGACTTCAGAGCGGACTAGAAGTTTGGCGCGATCTATATCAATAACTTTAAAACATCATAGGTTAAAATAAACATAATAATAAAATATACTATTTTCATTTAAAAGGTATGCAATATAACCTTTTTTTTCAGTAATTTGTGCTGATGGATCTTATTACAAATACAAATTCAATGAAAAAGGCGAGTGCACCAGGGATGTGTATGCTCAGTTTCTAGAAACTTCCGAAGATAGATAAATGTGATGACTTCTCGACAAGTGATTAAAATTACAAGGAAATTCGTTGACAATTCTTGGACATGCAAGTCCAATAAAATCTTATATACCCAGCCACCACTGCATGGGGAGGGGCAGAATTTCTCGCCCTAACTATGTTGTAGTTTATACACTATCGATATTAGATTTACCTACTCCCAAATATAGTAGACCCGCGGTAATCCGATCCCCGTCTAATTCGGCGCCCCGCGTAATCCGACACACTTAACACTGTTGATTTGCACATAAAATCAATTGAAATAGATTTTTAGATTTGGAATTTGTCGGATTACAAGGTACTATTATTCCAAAAATTCCGGCCTATAGAGGTTGGTCTTAGACAGTACTCTATAATTCGACAAATTCGATAATCCGACATCGCCCTGCAAAACGTTTGTCGGAGTACCACCGGTCTACTGTCATGCTAAATTTTGTATGAACTATCATTTTTATGTAAACTATTACTGTAATTAGGGCGGGATAGGATATCAAATTTAGTACCTGTTTTTCTTTACACAAGTAAGTTACTTGATTGTAATTGTATTCGAAAATAGCTTTAAGTCATTTGGCGTTTGCCCCGACAGACTGCACACTTGGTGTGAATCCGCTTAATGATTTAAAGTGTGCTATATGACTTACAAACCCTTGACATAACCCTATCCCCTTGAGAGATGTATGTCTTAGACTATGTTAGGACGCAGGTGTACTTTTTTTCAAAAAAAGGTGTATACCTATTTGTTATGGATGATATTGTGATTAAGCAAATTTTATAACTTTATATTGAAATCATTAAGATTAAATATTGCTTAATAATTATTGTCTGTAAGAATTCGCTCTTATGAATGTTTATATAGTTTTTATGTCTCAGTGCAACTGAAAATGTGCGTAAATTCAAAATTTATTGTTATTTCAAGGTTGGTTTAATTGATCATGCATTGATGAGGTTCTTGAATATTTGCAAATAAGCTACTTTAAAGTCCTGTGATTTTAATATTATCTTTTTGTTCTTGCAAAATTTAATTGTCACAAAAAAGTTGATAGAATTTTAATAGTTATTTATTATAATTCAGCGCTGTATAAAGAAATTTAAAACATATTAATTGTATGTGCAGTCCATACCATGATGACATCTGGTGCAGCAGACTTGCTATACCAGCTATTTCGCTTGTACAAATGCTTCTTCACCTCTTATAAAGAATTAGCTTAATGCCACAACATCATGGATGATTGTAGAGGCTTAAAGTAATTGTTAGTTACCTCAATTTTTAGTGTTTGTATGCTGTTGGTCGCAGATGACCTTTATAGCGTCACCTCAAGTTTTCTCGGCAGAGTGTTTTTAACGTTTTGAGAGCAAATGCAAATAAAACTTTGTCTCTCAATTAGCTGCAGTCATCATCAGCCTATTAATGCCCCCACTGCTGGAGCACAGGCCTTCCCAAAGGATGGAATAGGGAGATTGGGCCGTGACCCACCACGCGGGCCCAGTGCGGATTGACGGGTGCTAACGACTGCAGATGCAGTCGGGACCAACGGCTTAACGTGCCTTCCAAAGCACGGAGGAACTCGAGATAGACCGACCACTGCGAAAGTTGCTTAACTTCAACGATAGCATATAGCAGCCGATCGCGCTAACCACCCGCGCCATCGAGCTCCTCCAATTAGCTGCAGTAGATTTTAACAAATCTAAAGAACCTGGAGCATTCAATTGAATAATTTCATTATATTCTCATCATTAGGCTGTTTGTGGTAAGAATTGCCTACACCTCTTTATTAACTTTTGTTCTCAAAACGTCACTCGAAACTGAAGGGCGTGGTCTCAAATAGCTACAGGGTAAGACCACACTTACGTCTTGTACAACGAGCACAGCTGCTCAGGCATTGAGAAACTCACCACCTTGCTCGGCACTCCCAGTTGTTTCCAAACTGTTTTTATCACGCTTTCCATATAATTATTCGATTTAAGTCACAGCTACCTTCATACCAAGCGCTACTGTAGTGCCCTTAGCGAAGTGAAGGGTAAAGAATGGCGACGTTTCCCCTTGATAGCAAAATTCTGGGCTTCTTTAACATTGATTTCAAGCGAGTTCTAGGTACTTATCCATTTGGAAATGTAATTGAGAATCTCGATGACAAGTTTCCCTGTAGCCCTGCGAACTTATGGAGATACCGATTATCGACGATACGATATCATTGTCATTGATTTGCATCAGCAAGAGTGTACCTCCCCTCCCCAGCCCTAATCAGAATTAGTAACACAAATCAAAATATAGGTCAGTAAGGAATGCCTTTATATAGCTTCTGCTGCTCCGGGCTGAAGTTAGCTATCCAGTAACAAAACTGAGTAGGCAGAGCGTGAGCCGAAGTCTTGGAGAGAAGTCTCCTATGCCATGCCCTGTCGAAAGCTAGCAGATGGAGCGCACGGTACACAGATTGCGTGCCATGAAAGCAAATATCAAGTCTGCCTTTTGTTCTGTAATCTAAAGCCGGGTACTTATTACCGAGCTGTAATGGTGCGGTTTGCAGCGCGCCGACGGACGTTAACAACTGAGCTACAAGCGTACACACTATAATCTCGTACTGTATCACGCATGTTACGGTTACAGCTCGCTAATGAGTACCAGGCTTGAAGAGTGTCCGTTAAGTTTTATAACAAGCAATTTATCTGTTTTCATGACCTCCCTACTTTATTGTAAGACTAATAAGTTTTGTATTATCTTCAGTCGAGTGTTGGAAAAGGCTTGAGTTTTCTAGTCCCGCTACTAAGAATTTGAGGCTACTTCAGTTTTGTCTTTCAAAATTATTTGATTACATACAACATTGTCGTGTCATTGCAATCACAATCAAACATCGTTATTATTGCATTTTGAAATAAATACCCTATGTCAAACAAGAAAACTCCAGTCATTTTCAAAACTATATGTTACTTAGACGTTTTAGTTTACGTTTGTTAAAACTCTCAATGATACAGCTGTAGTTCCCGACTAGACGACCATTATAATTCATAGGTATGTACTAGATTGTATATTTTATACAGTTTATTATAATTTAATTAAATTTTATCCTACTTTGAATGGACTCCTGGATCAGAGTGCTTCATTCATTTATTTAATTTTTGGATTAAGAAAATTATATACAATTTGCTTTATTATGACGTTATGTAGCCTTTTGTGATATTGAGCATACAGGAATGCTAATTTATAATCAACAATGTTCAATAAATAAGTATATTTTTCAAAAAATCTTATTTTTGTTTTTATTTTACGTTAACGGCGTTCATTGCCTTCGTCGTCTACGCATTATCCATCTTGCTGGATTCAGCATGCGGGACAGCGCTATACACGTACACGTAAGAGATTCTGTATCTCCATCTCTTTTACGTGTATAGCGCTGTCCCGCGCGACTGATCCAATGTGATGGATAGTGCGTAGGTACAGTGCGACAAGGATCTCGTTTATTTATAGACTCTGCCCCCTTAGCGCGTTAACAATGGTATAACATACTTTTCAGTCCGCTTAGTAGTACAACAGTAATGAGGTCCTTTCTACTTATTTTTATGGTTCCGTAGCCAAATAGCAAAAAACGGAACCCTTATAGATTTCGTCATGTCCGTCCGTATGTCACAGCCACTTTTTTCCGAAACTATAAGAACTATACTTGTTTACGCAAATAAACCCCAAATGCATGTTACTTACTTATTGTATAGATAATAGATAAGGTGAAAGTGTTGTTGTCAACGGTCACTATAGATGGCGCCATCATTTTGCATAGTGTGATGTCTGAATGGCGATGTTGAGATTTTTACTCGATTATATAAGCCTTAGAAAATAAGGTATTCTTTTCGAATACATTTACTCGTTTAAACGGTGGTTTATATTTTATCATCCTTGCACCTTTAAAGATTTTTGGGATTTGTACAAGGTCCCTCAGAACCGGCGTGGCTATCTTAAGAGCGTTGTTAAAGTCCAATTTCGCACCGACGCGGCGGCGGATTGCTGTCTATGGTGTTTTTCCTGAAGTACAAGCCAGGCTTTTCAGAAACCAACATTGGAATTCGGAATAAGAATAACAATACCTACTGGAAGAGGAAGAACACAATTTGATGAACTGACAATAGACGGCGCCACTATATTGGAACAAATTGGCGGCAAATTTAAAATTTGGATTTGAGGTGAAGTGACAGTGACAATTGTAAGTACTTTGAACCTTATTTACATAGAACAAGTAACTTAGTGCAAATTAAGAAGATCGTTAATAGAGGAATTTGAACTTTAAACTCAAGAAAGATAATACTTAGCAGTTTTAGAGGATCTTAAGGACTTAGAATAATTTGTTGTTATTTAGCTTGTTGCTTAGAATAGTTTTCTTTAAAAGTAACTGACGGGGAATCCATGCCCGATTTTTAATCGAAGTGTATAAACTTCAAACACTTAGAAAAATTTTAGCGATTTTCTATAGATGTTTCTTTTGTCTGCTTAAGTAGTTAGAATTGTAGATATTTGCTTGTAGTTGGTGTTGTTGTAAACATTTAAGTTGTTGCTTTATATTAAGTTATCTGTTTGTTTAGGTCGTCATAGTATTTAAATGGAATCATTAATTAAATTACAAAATGATTGTAAATCAACTATTTCTAAAGCCCAAGTTAACTTTAAAAAAGCTAGCAAGAATCGCATCACGGTCCCTTATGTAGAAACTCGTTTGGAGGCTCTAGAACAGCAATGGAAAAGCTTTTGCGATATTCATCGTCAACTAATATCCGATCATGTCAGTACTGAATTGCAGAGTTCACAATATTGTACCGATAAAATTTATGATAAGACTGAAGAGATATATTTCGATTATAAGGTTTTATTAAAAGAATGTTTACATAAACTTTTAAGTGGTAGTCGTAATGCGGAAACTGCCAAGGCAGTTGAGATTCCTAAGTCTGATAAATCCTCTCATGTTAAATTACCAAGGATCTCAATTCCTACGTTTTCTGGACTTTATATAGAATGGGCTTCTTTCAGAGACTTGTTTATCTCACTGATCCACAAGAATGATTCATTGGATGAAGTACAAAAACTTCACTATTTAAAAAGCCATTTGACAGGTGAAGCACAAAGTCTTTTACGCCATGTACCAATCACTTCTGCCAACTATCAAACTTGCTGGAATCAATTAAAACATAGATATGATAATAAAAAGTTTTTATCTGATAATATATTAAAGCGGTTTATGGGCATTAAGCCACTACTAGTTGAGTCATCTATTGCTATTAAATCTATGTTAGACACTACCAATGAATGCTTACATGCTCTTAATTCCCTTGGAATCAATACTAGCACATGGGATGTCATTGTAATTCATATCATTAGTCAAAAATTAGATACAGAGTCCAGAAAATTGTGGGAAGCAAGGGCAAACGAATCGTTTGACAAGTTGCCTACTCTTGAAATGTTCAATGACTTTATGGAGCATAGATTCCGGTCCCTTGAATTTTTAACGCCCAGAGCAGGTAAGCCTGTTGCAGGTCGTACTACCACATCCAGTAATATAACGCAGGTTCATACGTCACTTCATACATCTACACTGTCATGTCCATTTTGTAACGAAACCCACAACCTTTGTAACTGTAAAGCGTTCGCGAAATCGGAGTTAGGAGAACGTAGAGAGTTTGTACAACAAAATTGGTTATGTTATAATTGTTTAGGGTCAAATCACTCGGTATACTCTTGTCGCCAACTCTCAAGATGTCGAATATGT